TCGATATTACGTCTCCTTAAAGCATACTTTCTGAAACCCTCATTAGCTGAAATCGTTTCTTATCTTAACCGATGTTTTTTTGGGAATTTTTATCTGTTCATTTTTGTAAGCATTCGTTGCTCTAACCGATTAGGCACAAATTCATTCAATTCTTTTTCATATTTTTTGTTTTTCTGATACTTTTGTCTTTAATCGACTTCTGGTAAAAACCGGGGTTCAATGACAATACAAACAGATATCGTTTGCTAAGTTTATATAAAAAGAAATATTTCAATAAATGAAAAAAAAACTGATGTCAGTGAAACTGAAACCCTGTGGCAGATTAAAAGAGATTAAATAAATATATTTGAGACGCGGATTCTTTTCTTCGATTTTACGAAGTTCCTCCGTAAATTCATTTAATTATTAAAATGCTTTTGATTGTTTTGTCTTCATGATTAGAATAATAAATTTATTATCTCTTTGACATTTCTTTTGTTACTGATTTCTGTTTTTTAAACAAAAATAAAGTGAGAAAATGAGAAAAAAAAGAAAGAAAAGAAATCAAATCCAACCAGCGGCCAAATAAAAATACAAGATTAAACGGAAGCGAATCTTCTCTTCATAAATTTCAGTGAAATGATATTGAGAAATTAAGAGGAGGGATTGAACATTTAACACATTAAACAATGAAAAATATTTCAATATGACATAATGTAATTGTCTGAAGTAGAAGCTTAAGATCCAATGAAAGAGAATCAAGTACAATAAAATTGGAAGCAATATATCACAATACTGTACGACAGAACAAAAGTTTAAAAATCATTCAAAAAACGCTGTTCTCTCTTTCTCGCACTACATATATTATCTATACAGTCCTGTTTTTGTGGATTTAAGAGTGTTCTACTTTAATTATTTCAAAAGAGGTTTTTAAGACATATATAATCAGAACTAATGCGAAGAATCCAATTATTAGAAATGAAATGCGACAGAACCGACCTGGACTTCTATGTAGAAGACAACATTAGACAAGAAACGGGCTCGGTTGAAAAGTTCATTACCGCCATCAAGAAGAAAATATTGAAATGGTATGATAACGTCTGTTGGCTTTTCTGTAAACATACATAAGCTCTACTGAATGTCATATCTATCTGATAAAATTTGGACGTTACATTCAGACATAAGCTCTACTGAATGTCATATCTATCTGAGAAAATTTGGACGTTACCTTCAGACATAAGCTCTACTGAATGTCATATCTATGTGATAAAATTTGGGTTTGTTAGCAGAAAGTCAAAAGTCGGTGTGACCGAGAATTTGAGCGTACTGGCCCTGTTCAATTTGTTGATCACACCTGATGTTGCGCGTTCTCGCGGAAACTATAACTACTGCTCAGCTTAGTCACCTTATATTTTCTTTGAGTGTTGAACAAAGACAAATATTTCTGAACAAGCGTTTGCGAAAGGGATTGGTTATCCCCCTTAGCAGAGAGACATACTCGGATACGAGCTGCCATTCATTTTATATATATATATATATATATATATATATATATATATATAGTTGATGTGTGTGTGTGTGTATGTGATAACCTGATGTTATTTGATTGGAAGAAACCGCGGTAGCAGAAAGGTGGTTGGTCCAATCATTTTATGCCTTAAATTGCTTAAATTAGAAAAAAAAATTACACATATAGAAAATCAGTGTATGGGGAAAGTGCGAGGTTAAAAAATATTATATCACTAAGAATTTACTTCTAGGTCGACACTTGGAAATCAATTCATTTATTTTGTTTAGTAAAATGTTTTGATTATCAAATTTAATAATTCTAATTTTCTCCAAACAAAAATTACATCTATTTTTATTAATATTTTATATTATTTTTATTATTTATTTTATATGTTTATTTTTCTTTAATATTAAAATTAAATAACAGTTTTAATATTCTAATTTTTCTTTTATCGACAATCTTTAAAAGTCTTCCTTTTCTAAACTTTGATGATTTTCTTATGTAATTTTTTGTTTCCAATTTTAATTTTTTGCTATTTGAACAAGAGTCAACATTTTAAATATAGGTTATTGTTAATCTTCAACCGTTTTTAACCTCTGTCTAGACTTGTATATGTATCTGTCTTCCTGTTTCCCCTCTCTACTTTGATGTTTCTTTTTCTTTTTTTCTGTCTCCCTCTTAAATGCCTTTTTCCTTATTTGTTGATTGTTCCTATGTTTTCCTCTCTTTTTTCTGCTCTTTATTAATTTTAATTTTTTACGATTCATTTTTCATGAAACGATTCATCAAGCTCCACGGAATTTATCCCGACGAGGGCAATGGCCATAAAAATGGGGTACAATTGAATTTCATTTTTATGTAATTCATTTCTATGCTCTATAATAAATATATTGAGCTCTTTTTTTTGGATCAGTCTTAATATTTTATATTAATAGGATTCACTTGTATTACTTACCAACAGATTTTTACCTATATATATAAGAATGCAACAGACATAATATAAAAGATATAGAAATTAATAAAAATTGAAAATGAAACACTTTGTTCTCTGATCGTCGGATAAGTTAGTTTATTTTTTTGCTCGTTTTATCCTCAAAATTTCAAATACATTTCCTTACATACAGTTTTGTCTTTCATTCCAAATTAAAGAATGCGAACCTAATACAAGTCGGTGAAATGCGTTGTCAAAAAGGGTTTCTACTTCACCCATTATCGCCACTTTTGTTTTCAGATACTATTATACACCTTAATACCATATATATATATATATATATATATATATATATATATATATATGTGTGTGTGTGTGTGTGTGTGTGTGTGTATGCGTGGACTATACTGAATCACCTGTTCGTGCACTCCATTCACTTTTATCTCTCTCTGTCATTCTGTTCATATATACGACCGTGCATATATATCTAAATCCATCTCTCCTTCCCAAGGGGCTAAAATCAGTGTTAGACGAGACTCCTTGCTGGTTGGCGGCCCATCAAGGAGAACACCTTAATTAAAAACCAGGTTGGGTTTGTGCTACCTCGTAAACACTTACCCGCTGTGGAAGCCACAGCAGTAAAGCCTCCTGTGGGGAGTCTGTGGCCCTAAAACTCAACAGGTTAATATACATAAATTGCTGTTATAAGTATAATTCACTGGGTTAATATACATAGAATATCGTTATAATTATGAGTGTTATTCGACTGTTACGATTTACTAGAATGATTAATACTAGAAATATCCGAGAACATTTTACAAATTTTTGTTTGATTAATCTAATAAATCAATTCATAAGTTAATGATTGAATAAGATTCTTTCCAGGATCACGACTATAAAAGAATTGAAATTCCACTATTATCTCGGTAAATATTAGAATATAAAAACAGTAGCAAAATATTATATTAACAATCGTAAATATGAATACATGTCATTATTTAAAGTAAGAGAGTATAAATTAAAAATCTACAAGGTTTTCCATTGCTCTGAGGTAGATGTGAAATATATTAATAGTATTATCGCCTCCTCTATATTCCACTTCTTTCTCTCCATAAAACCCAACATCCATATTCCGTCTATCCTTGCTATCAAACATAACTTGCCCATTGTTTACCTGCAGTGATTTTAAGAAGGAGCAGACCAACATGCGAATTGCAAATTGGATATACCAAAACCAAGTAAGTACAACATTTTAACCCTTTCCCCGGCGTAGACACGTATATATGTTTTTACATGAAGTGTCTTTTTCAGATCGGGACGAATAAACATGTCCAACACATAACGTTCAAAAATCATCTACAGACGTGTTTATACGTCGATCTTCATTCTTTTTGCGCCCTTTGAGATTGAAACAAGTTCAATTGTCGACTCATACGTCTGGTAGAGGTTTTAGCCACCGTTTCGATACATCAAGGTGCCTCAGATCTTTAGTGACTATATTAAGAAGCAAATGCAAAATTCGTCTGAAAATGAAACGTTTTTCCCAAAATAATTGGCAGGGAAGGGATTAAATATCTCCGAAGAGTTTTAACAGAGGACAGAAAATGCAACACCAAAATCCGAAGGTGCATTGAGATAGTGAAAGATGTCTTACAAAAGCTGAACAAAGTATTAAGAAACAGGGGAATTTCGTTAGAAACAAGGAAAAGATTACTGAATCTTACTTATTATAAAACGCAGATTGTGTGTGTGTGTGTGTGTGTGTGTGTGTCTGTACGTTTTTATATATTGGATCGGATTTCCTATATTTTTCAACCGATTTCAACAAAACTTCACAGGACTACGTAAAATTACCTTGCGGTGGTTCTGACAGCGATAAAAAATTGAAAAAACAATTGTTTTTGCAGGAAATCAATTTGAAAACACGATTCTGAGGTCAGAATGAAAGGGGGACAACTCATACGAGTTATACTTATTAATATCGAGTTATCGAGTTATACTTATTATAAAACCCAGGTTGTTTGTGTGTGTGTGTTCGTTTATATATGGGATCGGATTTTCTACATTTTCAACCGATTTCAACAAAACTTTTTTTGGCAGGTAGTGTTTCTTATTGTCTTGCACACTTTTTTCTTTTGTTTTTACATTCAGAATGATTTAAAAATTCCATTTACAAGACAATTGTTTATAATAACATTCTATTCAATCGGATAGACTCATAACGATTGAAAACAATGTTTTTGTTTGAGTTTGGGTTTGACCAATTCGTAAAAAAAAAAAAAAAAAAATAATTAAGACATGTGTCCGTCAACCTTAAACAATAATCTTTGTCAATTTTATTTTTCAGTCTTTATGATGGTCGATACTTGAACTATCTCTTTACTGTTACATCCCGGGCAATGCCGGGCTCAAACTGCTAGTTATAAATAAATTGTTCAAAGTTAATGGTTTGTGAATGTTTTTTTTCTTTCATTTCAGGTCAAAAACAGGATGAATTACCAAAAACTAAATGTCAGCATCTTAGAAAATTATTTTTTTAGAGAATACGTTTTGGGAGAACGTTATATTTGAAGAAATTACTTAGAAGAAAGGAAAGAAATTGGAAAAGAAAATACAAATTAAATAGAAGAAGGGAGTTAAAAGGAAAAGACGACAACGAAGATATAAAGAAGAAAAGGAAAAAATGTTAAAAACAAGAAAGATGAAGCAATAGTATGATAAAAAAGGATAATGAGGAAGGAAGGAAGGAGGGAAGGAAGGAAAAGGGAGCAGGAAGGAGGAAGGAAGGAAGAAGGAAGGAAGGAACAAAGTTGGGGGCCTGAAGATTCCAGGAAGGAAGGAGGGAAGGAAGGAGGGAAAAGAAGGAGGGAAGGAAGGTAGGAAGGTTGATAAGGAAGGAAAAAGGAAGGGGAAGGAATAAGGAAGGGGAAGGAAGGAAGGGGGGAAAACTGATGAAGGAAGGAAGGAAGGAGAGGAAATAGGAAGGATGAAGGAAGGACGGAAGAAGGAAGGAATTAAAGGAAGAAAGGAGGGAAGGAAGGAAGGAGAGAACTCAGGAAGGAAAGGTGTCGTTACGGGAAGGAAGGAAGGAAGGAAGGAAACATATAAAGGAGGGAAGGAACATAGGATGGGAGGGAAGGAGGGAATGCAGGAAGGAAGGAGGGAGCAAGAAGGAAGGAAGGAAAGAGGGAAGGAAGGAATTTGGGGAAGGAAGAAAGAAAAAAAGGAATAAAAGGAAGTTTAATAAATAAAAGGAGTATCTATTCAAACTAAAATAACGTTTACGTCGTGAAAATATATCGGAAAATAAATTAAAAAATGGCGGTGATAACTAATATTAAAGGTCATATGGCTTGAAAGGAATATATATTTATTTGTCTTCCAGACAAGATAGATCACCTTTTCAACACTGATGTTTTGCATGTCGTAATCAATGAAGAAAGGGAGAACCCATACAATTTTTGAGACTATCCCTGTGTCGCCACTTCTTTCCGAAATGGCGATGTGTATTATTATCAAGGGCAAACTAAAACAGTCGGAAAGTGTCAGCATAAACAAACAATTCGTGATAACAGAAAGAATAATCATTGCAATAGCAAAGTACAGAGAGAAGGTAAAAGTTTGGAGGATTTAGGATGAAAACTGAAGAGTGAAGAGAGAACAAAAGAAAGACCTAAAAGAAAGAGGTGGAGGATATAAAACCTTTTAAGGAAAGAAACTGGTGGTGGGTGTTTACTGAAAGAATAATAAAAAAAAAGGGGAGAGAGGATATAAGATAAAGAAAGAAAGAAGGAAGCAAACTTTTAAGTTGGGTGGAGAAAAAAAACATTAAAAAAAAAAGAATATCGAGGGATGGTATAAAAGTGCCATTGCAGAAGAAAATGGAAAGAAAAAAGAAAGAAAGAAAGAAAGAAAAAAGAAATTGTTACTTATAAAACAAACTGAGGTAGCAAAAAAGAAAGAAAGAAAGACAGAAAGGGAGGCAAGCTATAAGATGAACAAAGAAAGAGAATGAGCCAAAAAGAGAGGAGCAAAGAAAGAAAAGAAAAAAAAAAAAGAACTTGTCCAAAAAATTTTTATTTTGCTGTTATATAAAACATCTTATGAGGTAGCAAACAGAAGGGAGACATAAAAAAAGAAATTCTTGCGAGGAAGCCAGAAAAAAGTGAAGAAAGAAAGAAAAAAGAAAAAGAATGGAAAAGAAAGAAAGAAAGAAAGAAAGAAAGAAAAGAAAGAAAGAAAGAAAGAAAAAGAATGGTGAAGAAAAGAAAGAAAGTTAAAAAAACGTTTCTTCAAAAGAAAAAAAGAAAGAAAAATTGATCTCTTCCTATCTTGGTGAAGAAAGAAAGAAAAAAAAAGAATTAAGAAAGAAAGAAAGAAAAAGAAAAAAGAATGGTGAAAAAGAAAGAAAGAAAGAAAGGAATTGAGAGGTTGCTCAAAAGCAAAAGTTTAAGGCACAGAAAATATTGAAAATAAACAATAAGAAAGTTGAAAAGAAACAACTAAAAATGCTGGTAAAATAAAAGAAAAAATAAAAAAAAGAGAAATAGAGAATAAAAGAGAGTAGAAAGAAAAAATGACGAAAAAAATCATTATTGAAACTATTGGGGATTCAGAGGAGAAAAGAACATCTTTGTTGAATGAATAAGAGGAATGAATAAGGATGGGAGGAATTATAAGTGAATATTTACATTCAGAAATATAAGAACGAATTGTTGCTGAATGAATAACGGGAATGAATAAGTGAATGAATAAGAGGAATGAATTTTGAATGGATCCTTTATTTAATATAAGGAACGAATAAAAAGAATGAATAAGGGAAATGAATAATCGAATGAGAATTTAAGGAATGAATATGTGAATGGATAAATGTATGAACAAGGAACGAATAAAAGAAAAAAAGGGAATGAATAAGATGAACGAACAAGTTAACGAATAAGTGAATAAATAAGTTTACGCGGACTACACAAGAGAACGATTTGAATGAATAAAAGATAGAATAGCTGAATAAATAAAAAGAATGAATGTTTAAATGAATACAAGCTTGTTAATGAATAATTGAACGAATAAATGGCCAATCTAAATTAATGAGTAAGTGAACGAATATGTGAATGAATAAGAGGAATGAATAATTAAATGAATAAACGGAATGAATAAGTGAATGATTAAAAGGAATGAATAATGAGGAATGAATAATTGAACGAAAAATTGAATAAATATGTAAATGAATAAAGGAATAATAATGGGAAAAAAAAGGAATAGTTGAACTGAAATAAAAGGAGAAAATATTAATAATTGATAATTATAAACATTTTGAAGTTAAAATATAGGAGTCAATACGATAGTAGAAGAATGAAGTGAAGAAAAGAACTAAAAAATCTTTAAAAATAATTCGAGAAGAAGAAGAAGAAGAAAAGACGAAGGAGAAGAAGAAGAAAAGAAAAGACGAAGAAGAAGAAGAAAAGACGAAGAAGAAAAGGAAATGAAGAAGCAACCGAAAGAAAAGTACAACAAAGAAGAAGAAGAAAGAGGAAGATAAAAATAAGATTGAAGGAAAACATGACAATTTTACAAAGAAAAATAGCAAAAAAAGAGAAGGTAAACTCCTTGAAATGATGAACGACGACGTGGACTACGTAGAAGAAGAAGAAAAGAAGAAGAAAAGAAAAAGAAGAAAAAAAAAATGAAGAAGAAGAATTAGAAGAAGACGAAGAACTACATCGAGCGCAAAAAGAAAAAGAATTATCCCTTCTGCGATGACGAGAAAGAAAAAGAAAATGAACAGTGGATGAGGATGTAACAGAAATAAAAGCCAATAAGAAACGAAAAGAAACCTCAAGGGTGGGGTTGAGATGAAAAGAGAAAAGGACGAAGAAAAATGAATGAACTTATTTTAAAAAAAAAAAAAGGAAAGAAAATAAAAAGAAAAAAATAAACCGAAAAAGAAGAAAAAATTATTCGTTAAAAATCTCATTTTTTGCTCGCTTTACGCATTGTTTAACCCTACAGATAAAAAAAAAAAAAAAAAAAAACAAAAAAACGACTTAGCAAAAAGTATGATGACAATTTTTAGAAATGGCGCGAAATAATGATAAATAAACAAAAGAGATGACAGAATAGAAATCGCTCGAAAACAAACTCTAAGAGTCGATGGTTGCTTTAAAACGAACTTCAATGACAGTCAGCAGCTGGGAGTTAATAGAAGACGTGGATTTTAAAAAATTTTGATGTACTGACGGCTACGAACATAGTGGGCATCAGCAAAGAGATTTTCGGTGTTCGTGTATGTCAATGTGACAATAAAATCCTCCTTCAATTGGTTAGAATAACCATTTGGATTAGTTTAGACAGTTTCGCTACTAAACTACACAAAAGCGAGACTCGACCGTCTCCCGCCAAATGTAGACCGGCGATTTCCTCGATCTCAAGTATGATTATTAATATGACCAACAGCCGGATATATCCTATTCCAGTTTTCTGTCACTTTATCTTCAAAAAATCCCATATCCACCCCTTTCTTCACATTACTGCCGGTTAGAGTGGTCGCCGCTCAGAAGACTGAACTATCTGCTAGCCCAGAAAAAAAAAAACCGCCTCTTGCCATTTTCACAAACGTGGGTTTTTGTAGTATAATAGAAAACAATCCAGACATACTTATAGGTTGAATAGCAGACAGAGTAGAATTTTTATTTAGCTAAGATCTTGACAGCCAGTTTAGTTGAACGGGAAACAAACCATCTCATCTCTCCCAAGATGTCATTATAAGTGAATAGCCACATTTTCAGTGACATAGAACATTTGATAGCCTTATTCAAGACTCACGTTCTCTACTGATATGAGAAATTGGAAAGAATATATTGAATTGATTATAAAGTTCAGCGGCTAACAAATTTGATTCACTAGTGTATGAAGCTAGACAATTTTATCTTATTTATGTTAATGTTTCTCCAAATTCTCCACTGCCTTAATGGGTAATTGATGTTGAAATCTTTGGATTTTGTCACTCAAGGACATTTGGCGTTTTGGATAAAGATGTTAGTTTTGTTGTTCATGATGACGGTCGTCTTTGAGTATAGAATCCAGAGGTTAGCAGTGAATATTTCGAAGACAGTAGGAAAGCGTTGTTCAGGTTAGCAGTGGATATTTTGGTAAAAGTAGCAGAGCGTAGTTCGTCCTTCTGTTTCTCTTCGCTTGACAAGCTGGAACTAGACATTCGAGTAGGGTAAACAAAATGGCCGCCTTTATACACGACGGATTGAGTATTCTACGTCTTCTGATTGGTTAACCTTCTATTAGTGGACTATAAAGTGAGTCAAGCCACTTGGGCTAACTCACTAGTACACATATATACACAGAAACTGCAACAGATTGCAAGTCTTACTAATTAACCCATAGCTGGGGGAAGAAAAAGTGAATTCATACCTTCCCAAAAGATATTTGTGCGTGAGTGTAACGAACCCAATTGGAATTGGAACTCGGCTCTCCAATTAACAATTCCGAGCCATTATCCATTACACCACCATGTACACAGACTGCTCACAAATGTGAGGTATTTTTTTAAGTTAACGCACGCAAGTAAGCTAGACTACTGGAGAATTGACATTTTCAGCGAGATACGATCTCTGGGAGGATTGGTGTTTTCATCGAGAAAATATCTTTTAGCCAACTAAGCGTAAAGAACACATATTTGCTCACGAGATGTTTCGCGTAAGTATGGGATCGCTTTGGCTATTCAATTTCGCCCCCAAGACTTAGGTCAACATGTGCATACTTAAGTAAGTTTGTAAAGCTATGCAAAAATTTACGAAAAAAATAATATTTTCCCGACATCTGTTAGAGTCATTCTCATCCAGCATTGTTCTGCATTGAGAAACGAATGACCCCCGATTTAAGATATAATTAATTTCTAGTCTAAAACACTTACTAAGACATGTATGTCTGTATAAAAAATATATAATAATAATTACAATGTATATGCATATAGCAATAAAATTTAACTTAATGCATGCATGAATCATTCTTAATTCTCCCTCTCTCACACACTATATATATATATATATATATATATATATATATATATATAGCTGATTAATAATTTGGGGATTTATATAATATCCATAGAGGAAATTAAGTTACGAGACACAGTCTGCACTGTATTGCGTCTAGTAACTTAATTTCCACTTTGCAACCGGCCAATTATTATGATGCTTGTGTCCTGTCGTAACGGTCCGGTTTCGATTCTTAGAGCCGATAGAGGATGCGCACTGAGTCCCAAAAATGACGAAAACCGTTCCAGTGCTTTTCTGCATGTGTGTGTACGTGTTGGAGATTCTAGGTCAAGACATGATGAATTATTATTAATATATAACTTTATTTGATAATTAGTAGGGATAAATTCAAAGAGAGTTCAATGTAAGAACAGAGCAAATTTAATAATGATGAAAGCTCAGACTTTAGAAATCCATGTCAACAATTTATTTCACAGAATCAGTGAGACTCTGTCTCTTCAGACCAAACAATTTTACAACAATAGATTTTTTTACAACAATTTTAAATTTATCCAGAGAAAAAAAATTCAAACATAAGTGGGGAAGATATAGTTTTTTTTTTTTTTGCTTGTGTCTGGGTAAATTTAAAATTCATCTGTTGTTGCAAAATTGTTTGGTCTGATCTGACGCGTTCTGTCTGATCTCGTGAAATAAATTATTACCATGGATTTCTAAAGTTTCCGCTTTCATCATATATATATATATATATATATATATATATATACACGCGCGAGCACATTGCTGGCCAAAATATTAAGCCAATGAAAATAAAGAAGAAAGTATGCATTTGCGTTGTTAGAGATGTTGACCTTCAAAAATCAAAATAAGAAAAGAAAAAATAAAATTTCAAACTTTTTGAGCATTTGAATACTGAGAAAATAGGCTAAAAATACTAGCTGGTCAAAGGTTTAAGAAATTTAAAAAATGCTTTAATTGGTGAACACGTAACCAAATTTAGTCATTTGTGCCCAAGCATTTGCACAGTCAACATTTCCCGCGTAACATTAGGTATAAACATAGCAAAGGCTGAAAAATTAACAGAGTTTGAATGTGGCAGAATTGTCAGGCTGAAAAAGCAAGGTCTCTCGTCACGTGCCATCGCTGGTGAGATTGGACGTAGTAAAATTACTGCTGCAAATTTCTTAAAAGACTCTGAGGGGTACGGAACGAGAATGTGAAGTTGTTGGCAGAATAAAATTTCGTCAGTGTTGTGAAAGGGGATGCGACGGGTTGTCTGGTAAGATACCAGTTGATCATCGAACCAGATTAAAACTTCACAGACGCAAATTGAGGTTCGAGAACAATAAAACGGCATAATAAAGAGAAATGCTTTAAAAACAGCAAACAGCGTAAAAGTTCACACCTCTTCCTTCACCACAAAACAGCTTGTTTAAACTTTGTTAATAACATGGGATATAGAAAAGTGGAAGATGGTTTTGTTCTCTGATGAGAAAAAAATAACCTGGATTGTCCAGATGACTTCCAACGTTACTGATACGATAAGGATATCCCACCGGATACATCTTCTACAGTGAATGAGGTTCTATCATGATCTGAGGTGCTATCTTCTTCCAAGGAAAAATGGAGCTTCGGGTTATACAGAGGCGTCAAACCGAGGCTAGGTACATTTACATGTTGGAGAGAGAGCATCCTTATTGACCGAAGGCCCTTGCTTGTGTGTAAATGAGAAGATCTTTCAGGAAGACAACGCTGCAATCCATAATGCCCGCAGGGTAAAATATTTTTTCATGGCGAATAACGTGATTATTTTGGCCTATCCGGTATGTTCGCCCGACCTGAACCCCATTGAAAATGTTTGGGTGTGGAGGGTATGGGAAGACAAATAGACATCGATTCCAAACAGTGCATGATCTCCGTGAAGCCATCTTTCCCACTTGGATTAACATTCCAACCAGTCTTCTGCAGATGTTTATACTGACCATTCCAAAACGAAGTTTTGAAGTTATTAACAATGACGACCATATAACTCATTACTGAGACGTCTCGTTGGGCATTTTCTACTCTGTTTAGGGCTTCTTTTAGGTATGACCTTGAACTTTTGACCAGCTAGTATTTAACCTAATTTACCAGTATTCAAATGTTCTCTATTAAATTATAAAAGAGTTTTCATTTGTCTTTTCTTATTTTGATTTTTTGAAAGTGTATAAGTGGCTGAGTCTAATAACTGGGTGTAATAATACACCCATTTTAAATACTGTATATACTTGTGTATAAAACGACTTCATGCTAAGTACGACTCTTGATTATTTTGGTTTTAACCCCCCACCCCGAAAAAAATATCTGTGTATCGTGCAAACAATCGCCGAAAATATATGATTTTTAACCATTTAAAAAAAAAGAAGATTCCCTTTGTATAGTGCGACTCTCTATTTTTGCATTAAAAAAATGATCATAAAATCTTGCAGTATACTTAAGTATATAGGGTAAAATATTCTCCAATATAGTGCGGTTACTGCAACAGTTATCGACGTGAATAACTAAATTTACGAGTCGAGCTCAAATTACGCTTGCTTCTGCATTATTGGCTTAGGAAAAGGCATGAATACACACTTTCCTTACCGCTGGCGCCAGCTCTGGGTTAAATAGCACAGCAGACTGGGATTGTTAGCTTTGGATGGCAGCTAATTTAGTAGTAGGACGGAATTCAAAACCACGAAGGGAACGGGAAACCACTTGACTATCACTCCGAAAAGGTCAAAGCAATTCGCAGATAATAAAGAAAAATAAATCAGTAGAGAGTCCTGATCACCTATGTTTTGACTTGACATGACATTTAAAAAAAGACAGTGTAGCGATATAGATAGTATAATATACAGCTATATATGCATATTTACATAACTAAACTTAGTTACACGAATGGTGTAATAAGAAAGAAAGCCTCTTCAATAACAGTTTATTACGAGACACATTTGCTAACCATCGTTCTATGACAAGCTCTTAATGTTTTTTTTCCGTCTGCTTCTGTCTATCCAATATTTGTACGCGCGCAAACCGACATACGCACACGCACAGCAAAAGAACAAACCACTTTGCGCAAGTCTGCGTATCTGCGCCTGTGCATCTTGCGTTCCGTGTTTTGGCAATAGAGACAGAACGAAAACTGAAACAAATATGAATCTGGCCGCCATCCCTTTCCCTCTTCATATGAATATGGAACGCCTGGCGCATGCGTTCTCATGTTCGTGAAGGTGATGTAGGTAAATATGCATGTGCCTTTCTGCGCGTTCGTGTGCAAGTCTGGCGTAGATAAAGGCGTTGAAAACAGCAGGAGAACAGCCGGTTCTCACGCAAAGGTACCGCTTCGTGTGACAAGCGAGGTGCTCTCCCTTGAATGTACTCAACTTGCCCGGAGAGAACGAGAAAGGAAAAGATAGCAAAAAGAACAAAAATCATATATGTATGCATGAATACATATATATGTATATATAACTTTTGTTTTTTGTACATCTGATATTGTATATAAAACTTATATAAAAATACGTGCGTATAACGATGCATATTCAGATATTAATATCATATATATATATATATATATAACACACACACATATATATATATATATATATATATATATATATATATATATATATATAATCGTAGTTATAATCATATATATATTCGTCATTTTACATTTTTATTATACACATATAAATATATACGTATATATTCGTAATTTACATTGTTTTTACTTATAATAATATATATATATAATATATATGCGTAATTTTCAGTTTTACTCAATATATATATATATTCGTAATTTTACATGGTTCTCTTATAATCATATGTGTGTAATTTATTTACATTGATTAACTTATATTCAAATTAATTTTACATCGTTTAACTTATGCTCATATAAATATTTGTAATTTTATATAATTTCACTCACGATCGATATATATATATATATATATATATACATTCGTAATTTACATTGTTTAACTTATAATCATATATATATATATATATATATAACATTAATATGACAGTGTATGTAATAATATATATATATATATATATATATATATATATATATATATATATATATATATATATATATATATATATATATATATATGTATGCATGCATGCATATATTCGCATATTAATATAAGTTGTATATAATAAGGTATATGGATTTATATCACTGCACATAATATATGCCTGCTATCATAAAGGATATATAACTTGCTTTTTTGCTATGAGCTTGTTCTCTCTCTCTCTATATATATATATATATATACATACATACATACATATATACATATATATATATATATATATATATATATATATATATATATCTTATGAGGAAATAAAACAAACGAAGGAGTAAGAAAGAATCATATGCATAACCGAATTTCTGGCTCTGTCGATCAATATAAAATATGACAAAAACATGCAAACATATGTGAAAGACAACAATCAAAACAACAAAAATGCAGAAAGAATTTAAAATGTAATGGGGAGCAACATAGATGTAGATAATCGAAACAACGCGAAGGGGAACCATGAAATCATAAATACGTATAAAAAATGTAGAAAAAGATTCACGTATTAACAGAACGACATCTTTATTCATATTAAGTTAATCTACGAATGAAAGATACAATGAAAACTTTAAAAAAGAATTAAAATAAATATGGTAAAAGAAAAGAAACGATAAAAATATAACATAAACCCTAAAGAAACAAAAAATAAATCAAGAAACAAGAAAACCACGAATCTAGACAAAAACATTAGCAGAAACAATGAAACGTTGAAAGAAGAAAACAATGAAAATTCCCAAGATTCAAAAACAAGAGACGATGAAAGTGAAAGTAGACAAGCATTTCTGAATGCAAACAAGCAATAAACGGAATAGAAAAAAAGTAAGCGCATCGAAAGAACAATAGTATACAAACAAACAACTCACAATTGAACTGGGAGAAAAAAAATAATAAAAGAATGAAAAATCGACAAACATTCAAATATTTACAATATATTTCCCATCATTCATTCATTAAAAAAAATGAAAAAAACAATATACATCAGAAACACAAATAAAACCATTACTGCTTTCACTAATAAAAACAATGAAAGAATCCAGTTGTTAGTGAGGTCCGTTTCCGCCATTAACGCTGACGTCATGCTATGCTTACTGACATGACAATGTGAATTAGAGCGATATCTTCAACCATTGGATATGATCAACGATTTCCTTTGATTTTCAATAACTTTCGACGCGTTGATATCTGATGCCATTCATCAGATAAAAATATCAAACGACCTCCATGTAACAATATAGGATCAGGCTTTGTGTGCAAGGCTTTAAAGAGAAAAGATCAAAAGCTACCAGCAGTAAACGTTGGAAAAATATCTACGTTTACGGATAAATTTATATTTATTTTTATAGTAGAAAAAAGGCAGCTTTCAGAGGAATCTATATCGTAGATATATGGACAAGTATAATGAAAGCAAAGAGGTATAATAATTTCAACATCTTATGACTGTGAATGCTGAGGGATGAAGAAAAGACAGGGTGTAACAAAGATGTGTCTGTACCGACGAATGTTGAAAGAAAAAAAAGAAAAAAACAAAAACAAAAAAACATGAACAGTATGTGAAAAACGTGGAGAATAGTAAATTCTGAGAAAATGCTGTTAAACTATGTCACTCTTTATCCTGCCTTGAACAACAGTGTCTTTAAATTTCATAGATATGCTGTCATATCCTGCTATGGCAAAAAAGAAAAAAAATTGAGTGAAATTAGCAATAAGGATACTGTAACTGGGATTCCTTGAAAAAATGCAGTGAAAAGGGTATAATATTAATAATACAGAGTGACAATGGTTAACAACTAGAAAAAAATGTCTGAAATATGCGGGGCATATAGTGAGGGAAGAAAGCTTAGTGAATTTAGTACTGATAAAACATACGAAAGGCAATGGAATGAGGGGAAAACCGTGATCATCCTACTGGACGTGTTTGAGTAAATGGATTGTAGAACAATAACAGCAAAGTCGAAAAAAAGAAATATCTATTTAGAGTATAAAAATACTGAAAAAAGTAGAAAGTCATGATAGTGAATACTACATATATATATATATATATATATATATATATATATATATATTATGTAATGGACAAAGTCTGACAACTATTTTAAGACATTTTTCTGTTTAATATTCTTTTATAGATACAAATATTTATTATAAACAGAGCATTTATCTTCAAATATTTTTTATGTGAAAAGAATCTTAAACTTTTATCTATATCTATCTATCTATATATATATAAAACATATCTTAGTTTTAACATTCTTTTCATAGATATACATATCTTTATATATACATTTCTTTTATCCTCATCTTAAATATATTGTTTTTCCTCATCTTAAGTAATACATTAGTTTATTCTTCATCTTAAATAATACACTACTTTTTTTCCTCATCTAAAGTAATACAGTTTATTCCTCATCATGAATGATACACAATTTTTTATTTCCACAGTTTTTTCCACATCTTAACGGTTTAATACACTGCTGTTTCTTCATCTTAAGTAATACACGGTTTTTCTCATCTTCATGTAATATACTAGTTTTTCCTCATCTTAAGTAATACGCATCTTTTACACTGCTTTTTCCTCATCAGAATACGTATTGTGGTTTATATACATCTTATCATAATACACAGTTTATTCCTCATCCTAAATAATAAAATACATTTTCCTCATCTTCAGTAATACACTACTTTTTTCCTCATCTTAATAATACACAGTTTTTCCTCATTTAAATAAATCATTTTAAAATACACCTTTTTTCCTCATCTTCAGTAATAAATAGTTTTTGCATTTTTTTTCCTCATCTTATAGTATACCTGTTTTTCCTCATCTTCAGTAATACACAGTTTATTCCTCATCTTACGTAATACACAGCTTTTTTCCTCATCTTAATACACAGTTTAATCTCATCTAAATAATGAACTACTTTTTTCATTAAGTAATACAGCTTTTTTTCCTCCATCTTAAGAAATACACACTTTTTTTCCTCATTCCTCATCCTAAATAATGAACTACTTTTTTCCTCATCTTCAGTAATACACTGCTTTCCTCTCATCTTAAGTAATACACAGTTTTTCTCATCTTAATGATACTCTGCTTTTCCTCATCTTAAGTAATACGCAGTTTTCTTCCATCATTTCAGTAATACACTGCTTTTTCCCTCATCTAAGTAATACTTGGTTTTTTCCTCATCTTGAATAATACACAGTTTTTTATCGTAAGTAATATACAGTTTTTTCCACATCCTAATAATACACTGCTTTTTTCTTCATCTTAAGTAATACGCTTTTTTCTCATCTCAGTAATACACTACCATTTTTCCTCATCTTAAGTAATACAGTTTTTTCCTCATCTAAATAATGAACTACTTTTTCCTCATCTTCAGTAATACACTGCTTTTTCCTCATCTAAAGTAATACACAGTTTTTCTCATCTTCAGTAATACACTGCTTTTTTCCCCATCTTCGTAATACAGTTTTTTCCTCATCTTCAGTAATACACTGCTTTTCTCTCATCTTAAGTAATACACAGTTTATTCCTCATCCTTAATACTTTTTTCCTCAATTCAGTAATACCTGCTTTTCCTCATCTTAAATAATAGCAGTTTTCTTCATCTTCATTAATACACTGCTTTTTCCTCATCTTAAGTAATACACTGCTTTTCCTCATCTTAAGTAATAAACAGTTTTCCTCATCCTTTAGTAATACTCTTTTTCCTCATCTTAAGTAATATACTGCTTTTTCCTCATCTTAAGTAATACACAGTTTTATTCATCATCTTAATATAATACTTTTTTCCTCATCTAATATAATACATGTTTTTATCTCATCCTAAATAATGAACTACTTTTTCTCATCTTTAGTAATACCTGCTTTTCCTCATCTTAAGTAATACACAGTTTTTTCTCATCTTAAAGATATACACCAGTTTTTTCCTCATCTTTTAAGTAATACGCAGTTTTTTTATATCTTCAATAATACACTGCTTTTCTCTCATCTATGCACACAATTAATCCTCACTAAATTTATTCCTCATGAATAATAATTTTTTTAATCTTAAGTAATAGTTTTTCCTCATCTTAAGCAATTCACTGCTTTTTCCTCATCTTAGTAATACAGTTTTTTCATTCTCATCTAAATAATAAAACACTAGTTGTTTTTTCCTCATCTTCAATAATACACTAGTTTTTCCTAATCTTAAGTAATACACAGTTTTTCCTCATCTTAAATAATACACTGCTTTTTGTCATCTTAAGTCAACACACACACTGTTTCTTCATCTTAAGTAATACACACAGTTTATTCTCATCCTAAATAATAACCATTTTCCTCAGTAATACACTAGTTTTTCC